TGTTCATCTTTGCTTGTCTTTGATCATGCTGTGTTATGTATCATTACACCCAAAGATCCATGTATGGATTGGCTCGGTTTTGCACATAACCAGCCATCTCAGGTCACCTCAAAAGATGGTATTGTTCCTTTTTTGGCTACATTCAGAAAGGCTTGAAAACACATTTGCAGTCCTGTGATCACCAGAAATCAGACTACACTGTAGGTTTCCATGGAGGATAGCAGCTCACAATGTGTTTGTTTTGTGTTTGTAGTAGAGAAATTTCTCAGCATTCTCATAGGCAAATTAGATAGATGGAAAAGCTTTTGAAGAAACATCCGACTGGACAGTAAAGGTGATGTCTTTTAAACAGAAAGTAAGTTGCGTAATAAAACAGGAAACAAATATTGTATGTAAATCAGTGTATGTAAATGGGTATTCACACCAAAGAAAGAACTGTGTGTTTATTCTGTATCCTATGTGCACCTTGGGATTCACTCACTAAGTTAACTTGAAAAACATTTGTATAATGGTCCACCTGAAGCAGAGTAATTTGCATGAAATATGTAGCACATCTAAATGACTTGTCAAAACTGTCATCTGTCATGCCATTTTTAAAAGCAAGGTTTCCCTGTGTTTTATGCCAGTTGTTTTCCATAGTATTTTATAGGAATTTGCATTTCCAGTCTGTTTGAAGTCTCTGGTTAAACGAATGAGTGCCTTTTAAAAAAAGTTTTCCATCTTCACGGGTTAGACTTGTTTTGTTAATCAACGTTGGATTTGGTCATCAAAATGACCTGTATATAGATTTAGATCCTTACACACCCTGACCTTAACCTAACTTTATGGTTTTGAATGGTTTAATTCAAAGCAGCCTTTCAAAACCCTGAGTGTTCTTCAGAACATTCACACCTCTATGCGCTGAAAACAGGGATTTTTTTCATTGAAGTTTACTCCTGAACACATTCTATAAACAGAGCTTATGAATAAACTCCAAAATCTAATATTCTTACTCTTGTTGCCCTCAACTCCATAACTAAGTTTTATTTCGTTTGTGGGTATTGCAGTCAACAGAGGCTGTGCCAGTTATTAAATATAAGGCTCACTTGCTTTTTCTACCCACAGTGCGGATTTAATCAGTGTAGGCCTAAAGGTTTGAGTTTAGTTTATGATGACCTGGTCACATTTTCTGACCAGTTTAGAAAAAAATATCTTCCAAGGCTATTACAGATAAATTAGAATCTGCAGGTTTTGATGAGATACTCTGATATTTTACAAATGTATGACTGAAGAAGCCTGAAAACAGCATAACAGGGCACAAATTCACAAGAAAGTAAAAGGTAGGAAAGCATTCCAGTTCCCTGCCTGACTGCGTGCTGTTTTGATGTGTATTCCAGCCAGACCATCTCTCAGTTGTCAAGGTGACCACCAGCTTAATTTTATTTTGTTGAAACATGATCCCAAATCCAGGTCACAAGGATGATGTTCGATTTAATAACATTAAATGCATGGGATCTGCATGTGAATAATGTAACATTTCAATCTTTAAAATCACATGTTCAATGCTATAAATATATTTCCCCTGACAAAGTGAAGTCTGGCTCTGTGGATGGCAGCTAAAAGCATCAGTTGTTATTACAGGCTGCAGTAATATTCTGTGTAAGACATTGGTGTGCTCAAGTACATTTACTATGGAGTACAGAGGTCATTTGAGTCATCTCATTAGTCTGTGAAACCTACTACATACAAGCCTCACTCTTTTTATTTCCTGATGGTGCCAGTCTTCTTTGAAACTGTTGAACTGCTCTCCTGTTAGAATATCTGCCTGATAAGGTGAGATCAAAAGTGCTCCTTGGTCTGGTTCAGTGTTAAGGCTTCAGTTCATTAAAGAAGCTTTTTAATGACTGAGCAATATTATTTTAGCACACATCAGCACACAAAAGGAATTCATGATAATGTTCGTGGGTCATTGCTTTGTTCTTTATCCAAACATTTGATCATTTTCTTCTTCATCAGAGTAAAACTGTTGATGTGCTTCTAAAGCTGCTGTGGTGTCACCCACCACTTTAGTTTCCATCTGCTATTACCTCTTGTGTAAAGTCTATTTTAAAAAAAGACGTGGGCATCACCAGTTAACACCTACCTTTTTTTACTTTAAAAAAGTAGACCACAACTATTGATGCACTTCCTGTTCACTTGCTTACTTCTTGTAAATACTCTGCGGTCAAAAAACCAACTTATCAAAAGCTTAAAAGAAGATTAAACACTCCTTTCAACATGACTAGTTTATCATTTTGTCATCTATCTAAAAGAAGCCTTATGAATAATAAAACTGATGAGAGGCGACTTACACATCTGCCAAGTACCCTAAGCATTAAAATGATTCATGCCAACAGGAAGACAAGCTGATACGGTAACAGCAATACACTCCCATGAAGCTATTTCCTATATTCACATTGTGATTAGAAGATAGCAGTAAAAGGCCAGGACCTGAGATGTCAGTTTCATAATGAACTGCGGCCAGTACCTGAGGAGGGATTCGTAATTTACTTTGTGGCACCACATCAAGCACCAACAACCATTTACGGTTTGTTTTTTTAAAGAGACCTTCACCATATCACCTAGTGGGAGTTGCAAAAGAGGCCCAAGGTAAAAAATATTTTTGCTATTTGTGGCTATCAAAATGTCTGATCATTTGTGAAATGCAGTACTGTAAGACATTCATAAGCTGTACATGAGTGCAGGGCTTGGGTGAAAATGTGTAACTGATGTTACACAACACACCTGTAAGTAGAACCAAAGAATGAAAAAAAAGGAAAAAAGAGAAAGAAAGAAAACAAAATCATAAAACACATATCTCTCTCATGTCTTCTTTACTATTATCAAATCTAAAGACAGTTTATCTGAGAGAGATGCAGATAAGGTAGTTCATGCATTTCTTAACACAGAACCCCACATTTCTTTAGGTTTAGGTGACAATGTGTAAAATATATTTTTTTTATCTCTTTTCTGATTCCTGTTGTCTCAGAATTGAAAATTAAAAAAGGGACGTACGCCGGAACCTGTAACCCTGTTTAAAATGCCAGAGTGGCTATCACAAGAGGAACAAGAAAAAGTGAACTGTCTGAAAAAATTTTTTTTTTTCAAATCTGAGGACACTTGAAAAAGCAGCCTGATAAACTGCCATAAAAGCTGCGATTCATTCTGAGTGTGGCTGCTTCTTAGAAACTATGTACAATGCTTTTCCTTCAGGTAGTTCTTTCTCTCATTCGGCTTTGAAACTGTAATATATGGAAATAGATGGAAATGGAAATATCAAAAAAACATTTTGAAGCAGAAAACATTGGAGGTTTCAATTTTATCTATCCACATTTTGAAAAGCAGGTGATTTTCTCCTCAGTTGGCTCCACGGAAACTTGGATAGTTGGTTCCCAAACTTTAGAATTTTATTAAACTTTATAACACCGTCCGCATCAAAGTTTTTTTTTTTTTTTAACAGGGAAAAGTGCACTGAACTGCAGAGTCTGTCTCGTAAAACTGAAGCTCACTCCACTTCACTGGTCACACATCCCCCAATGGAAAAATCTGACAAACGTTTACTGAGGCATTTCCTTGGTCGTTGATGCTTCTGAACTCTTTGTCTTCATATTTTTTGTACTGCTCCTCTATTCAAGTCCGTGAAAGTTATTGATAACATGAAAAGTCAAACCATTTATAAGTCCACAGTACATAGAGGACAATGTTTCTATTGTGTTATCATCATTGAAACTGAGTTATGAGGTCTGGTTAAACAGCAGATTGCTGTCACAGTGTGTCACTAACTTTTTCGGAGCATTATTTCTACTTGAAACTTAACGCTTGACTTTGGCAGATGTTGATTAATAAAATTTCATTCAGTCTCACTTGTAAAAAATATGACTTAGTCCCCATATTTTCTTTTCTTTGGCTTGTGAACCGACAACAACATTTGATGTGGGCTTGAAGAAACTAAATGTGGGAGATGCAGCCTCATTTAGGGTGCCGATACCGCTGATTCCACAATGATTTCTCATGCATGATAACCTGGCTCATTAAACTTAATGGTGCCAGTTGCTGCAAAGACACAAAAAGACAACAAAGACCATATGGCTGCTGGTTTCTTCTGCCTGCGTTGGCTGAACTCTGAAACTCATGCTGAAAACTTCCAGCTGTGACTGACAGTGTCTTCACACCCCCTTACACCTGCTCCCTCTACCATCGCTGTCTCTCAAAATAAATAGTGGCTACAGTATTACAGTGCCAATTGTAATCTGATACCCAAGACTTTCACAAGCCTTCTCCTGTAATCCATGTGCACAGTGCACCATCTGTGATTCCTACATATTCAGTGCATCCTGCCCGGACCCGCCATCCCTACACATGCTGTAGGCTGACCTTTTAACCTTAGTGAGATAGGCATGCTTCCTGTTATTTTGACTCCTCAGTGTTTGCAGTGCTACCTCTCTGTGTTCATTGTGTTTCCAGAGTAAACAACACGGTTATGTGCCATTCAGGTCATTTGGTCGAAATAGATGCAAAGTTTCTAAAATGGTTGGTTTCCATCCTAGTTTGTACAGTACAAGCACTGTAAGTTTGAAGGTGTCTTTTTATCTTAAAGAAACAGAACCTGTAGCAGGCTACTTCAGGCTCTATTTCTGTTTGTATCAAAGGTAAAGATTTGAATAAATATAATAAACTGGGGAAAAAAAGTCAATTTTGTTCATGTGTCTCAATTTTTCCCCAACCACTGTTAATTCATTCCAGTCTCCTGGATTAGTGACAACATTTCCAGTAGCTCTACTAATTTTTTCAGTTTTTTCCCCTCCTTTTCCCCTCACCAGAGTTACCCAACAGCGTGGCTCTCAGGTCCAATCAGATCTATGAGCAACTGATCAAGCCTCATTAACGTTTACAAGCTGGGAAAAGTGCGTGCACAGCGTTACGCGGAAAGGTGAAGCCTGAATACAAACCACCTCCGCTGCACCACACAGAGATTGTCCCGCAAAAAGCTATATTAGATTGAGTCTACATGTGGAAAGAATCTGATCCACCCACCAATAGAAATAGATCTGTGCCTACTGAGACTGGCAGGTCTAGATGATCCCGGTGGCGTTTGCGTAACGATATGCAAATCTATTCGTGGTCAAAAACGCAACTAAACTAGTGTCTGTTCTGTGTATAGTAGCACCGTGTTACAGAACCCAGAACGCTCGGATACACTCGCTCTTGTATTTTCTCCATCACATGTGGTTTCTCGGCAGGGGGAGAGGAAGGGGGAGGAAGAGAGAGACTTCGCGGCCACTGGCGCAGGACCTGCTGAACTGAACACTTTTCACCCAGAAGCATATTTTAAGTGTTAAAACCTGCTGTTCACAACTAGGCTGACTAATCCGAGGCGTCATTTTTTTGAAGAAATCGAAGAGCTTGGAGAGGATGCTGAGTTTACGAGAAGCAGGTGCATTGTGCCAAGTGGAGGAGGCGCAGGGACCAGAGCAGGACCATGCCGCATGCTCCAGACGAAAACTCATCTGTTTAAGCTGCTGCTTATTGCGCTTTTTCGTCTTAAATTGACGGATTGTTCGTTAACAGCATGCATCTCGTAACTAAGAGGATGGAGATGCCATGGAACTGACGGACGCGCTGCGCTTTTGGGCAACATTGTAGAGACTGGAGAGAAAACAAGCATCAAGGACTTCTTTGTTGGCTTCTCACACGGCTGCTACACTGAATTTAATTCTCAAGGAGATCCACAAATCGTCTGCAAGCATGACCGAAGCACCTTTTACGGCGAAGTCCCTCTACATTGGGATGGAGATGCTAATCGCGGTCGCCTCCGTGGTCGGGAACGTGATGGTGGTTTGGGCGGTGAAAATTAATAAATCCCTGCGAGACACCACGTTTTGTTTCATCGTTTCTTTGGCTTTGGCGGACATTGCAGTGGGGGCACTCGTCATTCCTTTGGCCATTACCATTAGCATCGGACTCCAAACTCATTTCTACAGCTGCCTGCTCGTGGCGTGCACAGTGTTGGTGCTGACGCAAAGTTCAATCCTGGCTCTTCTGGCCATCGCGATTGACCGGTACCTCAGGGTCAAGATACCCACCAGGTAACGTTTTCTCAAAAACACATGCTGAGACCAGCGTTTTTATAGTGTCATCAATATTAGTTTGACGTCTGAAATTGATCGGGATGTGGATCAAATGCTGTTTAGTTCAGCATCTGTCTCTCTAAGTGTGGATCTTTAGATGGGTCTCGATTGCCTCCCCGGGATATTATTTAGTTTCTGCATGCAGCTTTGGCTCACAGGACAGATAAAAGAAAAAAATCTGTGCATCTGTAATAAATGGGTCTTCTGTATTGGACACAAAAAGTGTTCAAATTTGGTTACAATGATAGTAAGTCTGCTCTTTGTAAATGCACAGGCACGTGGTTAATAAAGCTGAAGCAAAAGCCACAGTACTCAGTGTGGTGAGAACCTGATAAGATAAGCCACTTTTAGTCAGACAGTGGAATTTGTTGGAACACAAGAGCTTTTGTCTAAGACTGACCTTTCGACATGTTAATAAAACTACAAGGTTGCGGGGGTTGTCGCTAATTCACTCCTTATTTTTGGAAAGATTGTGAGGGAGCAGAGATTTCAAAATCAATTTAACACTATAACGTGTTTTCTCGAGAGGAATGAGAATGGCTGGCGATGCTTATCTTTTTTCCCTCCATCGCTCAGATTAGAATCTCTCCTCTTTTGTGCAGACAGATTTGCAGTGCTCTATATTGCACCTGCTCTTCTGACATAAACCTAATTTAACCCACGTCACGTAATCAATACTAATCCAACACATGATACTTGGCAGTGTCAGGTCTAAATATTAGGGTCCATCTCAGCTCCAGGCTACCCTTCAGCAAAGGTCGTGTTGTTATGTGGACATTTCCTGTGCAGTAACAACATCAGACACAGTAGATATCAACTAATGCTCATCTGAAAGTGATCCACTCACTGACCTGCATTCTTTCTAACATGGACTCTGATTGGATTTTGAGGGCTCCTAGATCACTTACTGGCTTATATCTACCACATTAGGCAGTGAAAGGCAGCAATCTGCACCAGAACGTAGACAGTTTGTACTTTGCCATAGAAGACATGTCTTTGTTTCTACTAGTGGCCACTAAACTGGAGAGAAATTTAAGATAATTTTAGGAATTCATTGTCAGTGATGCATGAAAGACTTTGCTGGTAAAGTGTACAGAGAACTATCTCTTACTATGACTAGCAAGTAACTCTTTTTAGAAAGGGGATCAGGGGCTTGTAGTTTAAATCATTTTTGTAAATCACATAATTTTTTCAGTCCAGTTAAGGACGCTGAAAAACAAAGGATAGTAGCTACGGTTCATGCTAGTACTTTGAGGAAAAATGCTAACGTGAAGCTTGTGCCTGCAGGTACAAGCGAGTGGTTACCCCTCGGCGAGCCGGCCTGGCAGTGGTGATATGCTGGACAGTGGCTTTCATTGTGGGGCTCACACCGATGTTAGGCTGGAACAATCTGAGGCGCCTCCAGCAGAACGACCCCAACAACACGGACCTTATTATAACATGCCAGTTCGAAAACGTCATCAGCATGGACTACATGGTCTACTTCAACTTTTTCGGATGGGTGCTGCCACCTCTGCTGTTCATGCTGGTGATTTATGCTGAGATCTTTTACATGATCCACAAGCAGCTTAACAATAAGAAACTTAATACCAGCCACTCAGACCCCAACAAATACTATGACAAAGAGCTAAATCTTGCTAAATCTCTAGCACTGGTCCTTTTCCTCTTTGCAATCAGCTGGCTCCCCCTTCACATCATTAACTGCATCACACTCTTCTGCCCCGGGTGCAAAACGCCAATAGTTCTCCTCTATGTCGCCATCCTGCTCACACATGGCAACTCCGCCGTCAACCCAATCGTCTACGCTTTCCGCATAAAGAAGTTCCGCTCAGCCTTCCAGAAAATCTGGCAGCAGTACTTCTGCTGCAAGGACACACCAGCGCTGGACTTCCAACACAGTGACAGAAAAGAGGTGCCCAATCTGGTACCGCTGCAGCCTACTCCAATCCCATCTACTCAGATAGAAAACCTTAAATCAAACTTACAGCAGCCTCCACCAGAACCTCCAGAGGAGCAGAAGACCAAAACACCGCAGGAAGCCAATGAACATCCGCCTTCACTGGAGCACAACGCAGTCTAAGCAAAGGATTAGAGCTAATGGATCCAGAGGTAATGGTCAGTGCAAAAGCAGAAGCATTAACTGCTACAGAGGACTACAGTATTTTGGTGGAGTTGGCAAGAGTTCACTGGAAATGAATGAACTTTCCTCAGGTGGAATGTGTTTACTCAAGGTTTATAAGAGAGCAAAAATAGATAAATAAAAAGCAGAGAGAGGTTTTAGATAAACTTGCAATAAAAGAAGTCCATTTAACTGTGTTTTATCTTAGTAAAAGACTGAAAACATTAAGCTTTAACTGTCTTATTCAGTATGGTGAAACATTTGGAGTGAACTCTACAAAATGTGCAATATAAGTTATTGTGGCGGTGCAGTATACGATTCTTAAAAAGTTACAACTTGCCTGGACATTAATACATCAAATAGAGCAGGGTAATCCCACTACTGTAATGCTGTGTGTGTGTGTTTAAAATGACAGTGGCAAAATAATATGAATGTAATAATGTAAATATGAGACTGTTGCAGCGCAGCTGCGAATGGTCATTTCTTCTTCAGGGTCATAATTGCACAACAACGTTTAAAGGAAGAAGTACAAATGGGGAGATTTTTTTATCAGCAACATGCCGCAGAGAACGTTTTATAATCTCTTTTGTCTATTCACCAGACCTCAGGCCCTCTGTGATCTCACAGCAGTTTCCATTGCAGAGAAAGGAATGGAAAAAGAAATAAGTACATGGTGGCATCGGGAAGATTGAAGATTTTAGAGGCTACATGCAAGAATCGTGTAGCAGCTACTCATAGGAGGCAAACCCAGCATGCACTCACAGTTCTTCTTTGTCTAGGTAATGGTGAGTTTTTTCCAAGTGACAGCAACACAAAACCACAACAAACTGTGGCTTCTATGGCCTTATAAACTATTTTGACTCATATGGGCTGCACTCCAACTGACCTAGAAATGACAACCTTAAGATTGTGACCATTTATTACCCTGTAAATTTGTATTATGCTAATCTGTCATTGATCTGTAGGTTAATGGCAAACTAATGTAAAAAGTGGCTTTCACTTAAACTCACTTTATGGGAATGTAACATAATTTGTTTTGTCCTTTGTAAAGACTAATGAGTTTGGGCCAAAACACTTGACTGATGTTCTAGATTCTGTGACAATCTCTCGTGTAAGGTGAAGACATCTTAGACAACTACGTCAAACGTCTCACGTGTTGGGAAACCTTAACACCGTCAACTGTATTGTCAGTTGAATTTGTAAAGAAATACACAAACAGATATACCTCCAAAAGGGAAAAGATGAAAAAAAAGTATACTATTGATGTGTTTTCTGTACATAATGCCACTTAAAGCCTATATTTATCATTCCCATTCCATTAGAATAGTGGAATACACATTCATTTGTGATGATTTCAATAGTATCATGAAAGATTTCTGATGCAAATGTTGAAGATATGTGACTAGATTCTTGCTAAATTATATTCTACCCTTGTTTCCTTAAAATTGTGGTTATAAACTAAAGCTAATTTGTACAAGCAGATATGATTTGAGGGCACAATCATGCAGATCTGTTTTCTTCCATCATATGTTAGGCAGCTGCCTTAATTACAAGCTGCAAATTAGTGATACCACACATACAAAATCTGGCTTTACTGTAAATTATGGTTTATCACTGATTGCTGCATTATCGAAAAATTCATAGTTATGTGTTTGTAACAAAAGCACTATTGTTGAGATAGAAAACTGATCTTGATATCATGCGTAAATCATTATTCACCATCTAACAAAAAGCACAATTGTAGCTGAGCCATAATAAAAGTGCATTATCAACGTTTGGGTGTTATCCACACTATCAGGTGTCAAAGTCTGCATTTTATGACGTAATATCTGTACGCATCTGGAATATGTGTTTGCAGTGCTTGTATTACTCCAATCAAAGGCTGTTAATTATGGTCAAAGGTAAGCCTTAGACCATAATCATTCACACTGTAAAGAACCACAGAAATTGAACTTGTCTGAACTTATCAACTTAAAAAATCAGGACCATGGATCAATTAATGTTTTACAAATTATACGCCTATGAATACGTTTCTCTGAAGTTTGCTGTTTACTGTACATACAAGGTTGAGCATTTTAGCTTTCTTCTATTGTTTTTTATTTTTTGGCTTTCTGGTCTTGTTTTGCTGATTTCAGATCAAATAAACCAGGCCTATTTATAGTAAAAAGATTAGTTACGGTGTTCTGCATATGTAGTGTGAAAAAAAGTATCTTACTGCGGGAAGCTGTATCAAATGTAAAAACAGATATAGTGAACAATATAAAATCGGTTAATGAAGAGGACACAATTTTTCAGTATTGTGTTTACATTTACATACAGAGACTAAGCAACTGCTCATTTTTTTCAAACCGTTGTGAATTATTTTTTCATTTTTGTTACTGTTCATACCTCTTGCTGTGACTTCAGTTCCTGAGTTGTACTATTTAAGCAATCAACTATTCTAAATCCTGAATTTTGTATTTGTACCAATAATGTGGCACAATGGTGCAGAGTGGCTCTTAGATAATGCTCAAGAGTTGTCATAACTCTGACAACCCACTTCCCTTCTGAAAATATTAACTCATTTGATATGTGGAAACGTGTGAAATTCCACACCATAATCCAAGTCAGGACTGCTCACTGTGCTGTGTCTGCAAGGTCTCCTGACTTGCTGTCAACTAATCCTTTTTCTTCCTCACTCTGAGATATAATTCAGAATCCACACAAAGGACAATGCCTCCTTTTTCTAAGTAATCAAGTGGGCCAGAGAGCTTTTATGAATCAATAATGTTTTTCACATTGTATATCTATTTCAGTCTCACGTACTATTTTTATGCTGGGTTCCATTACAAGATTACATTTGAAGTGGAAGGTGTTTTAAGATAAGAACAAGCAAGGAAAGAAAATACAAAAGATGTGGGCTTCCAGCGAGACAGCTGAGGTGACCTATGAAGGACCGTGGGGCTTATATACTATAGGTGTTGGCAACACATTCTGAGGGAAAGGAGGAGAGTTATAACACTTTTCCTACTGTCTCTCTACAGTCAAACTATATGAAAATACAAGAACATCAACTTAGATTATGTATCATAATAGTTTATATAAAAGACTGAATGGACCAGTGAATGTTTGGGAAAAAAACAAATAAAAGCTGTGTTAATAATGTGGCTAATTTATGTCCAGCCAATGAAACGAAGGGGGTTCAGGGACCCCAACACTTCTGAACATGCCTTTAATGTGGATCATTATTTACCTGGTTGGTTAGTTTTGTTTCATGTCTTTGCTAAACTAACACACCCTTTCCAATCCTCCATACTCCCAGCAGCTCAAACAGGGCGTATGCTGACTGGTTAAAAAGCATGGTGTATTTATATCCCCGTAAAAAGCTTTTCATTAAAAATAGAGGAACGGTTTGATCTACCTGAGCTCTGATCATACAGGCATCATGAATAAGCAAATGTTGTGCGCCCCTGGTGCTGCCGCACAACAGGAAACCCAGTTCCTTGTCAGACCTTTTTTTTTTTTTTTTTTACCATTGCAACATCTGTCACTGGGAACAGCTGTAATTTAGACATCTGGGATATGAGATGGGGACAACAACTGTATGAAGCTTCCCATGCTCCAGTAGTGTTAAACACTAGAGCAGTGAACATGATCATCCTTCACATAAGATAATTGTTGGCTTTGTTCAACATGTACGAGTTCCCAGGGAAGCAATCAGTCATAAAAAACAAGGCCACCATTTCGCTATGCGAGCATCTGTGTCGGGCACAGTGGGAAAAATCGGAGCAAGAGCAACTATTCCAGGTTGGCTGATGAGAGACTGCAGCCAAAGTGATAAGCCTGTAAATAAGAAGTTGGGGGAAAAGTGGCAGATTGAAATTGGCAGCAGATGGGAAATTTGCATTTAATTGCTGAACACCGCCAATGGATTTTGTAATGAAAACTCTGATCGATGGCTCTTCACAGTCCAGTAGAAATGGTTTCAGCAGACCTCCTGACCCTCAGAGAATTTGCAGTAGGGTATCCCAGCATTGGTGTGGATAGCTTTAATAAAAAAACACATTGGGAAACAATTATTTATGTCCCCTGTTAATCAATTATTCAACAAGCAGTCTTACTTAATTAGAACAACATAAATATTTAACATTTTTGAAAGAAAAATGGCTGTCTTTAGATTCATCTTGAAGCATAGAAGTACTATTGTAAATTCTAAGGTAGAGCAGCTTTATGTTTGAACCCAAAGTGAAGAAATGGTGCAGTAAATTGCTCTCAGGATTTGATTTAAAATGAAGCTTTTATGGATCAGACTGGGCTGTGATGATTTGCTGCTTTATTAGATGTATAAATTCACTTTCTTGAGTAAATGAGAGCTTTTTTTCATCGGCTGTATGATGCTGTCAAGGTCTTATGCTGCATTTTCTCACTTAGCACCAATTCCCTGTACTAGAGTTCTATTTCTCCCTTTATTTTGCCCTCATTGACTGTTCTTGTGACACAGTGCCACCTGCTGGTAAATACTCTTTTATGTTTAGCAGGACAGCAACTGAGAGGTGCTGAGGGAAGCTAATATTGATCTGGCTCAAATCCAGCTTCTGCAGCCTGTTATTAAAAATCTTTTATGGCAGCTCTACACATGAGCATGGCTCTGTGACAGGAGCTAATGAACATCACAAAGGGGCTATCTATAATTAAATCACAGTGTGTGAAAAAATGAGTTAAAACCAAAACTTATGACTCAAACCCTATTACACACAATGAAAAAAGTCCCTTTGGAAGAATTTCTCTGTACCTCTGTGTGATTTAGGCACCTCGTTTCTAGCATTCTTATTTAGTGCTGATGTAGCTGTACTGTTGTTTTATACTTTACTTCAGAATAAAAACTAAATGAAGAATTTGAGCTGCGAAAGAACCCATAACACAAGACAAAAACATTGTGTATCATGGGTTTTGATCATAAACAGCATTTTTTTATTGCTTTTTAGTTAGCAGCTGTATCAACCATTTGTCTATCTCAAAAAGATCCTACAGGTACGAATCACAAAATGTTCCCCCATCCACACCAGATCACCAACAACCCGTCAAAGTGTCCAAAATATCATTCCTTCTCTCTTCAGAATGTCAAAGTAATGTGGTTACAGTAGGGATGAATGGTTGTAGTCCATCGTCTGGATTGTTTTCCCTGCTTCACTCTCAGAGTAATTTAAATTGGGTTACCAAAGTTTTGTTTGAGATTATATCATGCTGGATTGTTTTGCCTTCCTCCTCAATGACCGCTTCAGGGTCACCAGCAGATGCGTAACCAAAAACAGTAATGTCTCGGCCGAGGTTGTTTTGGTTCATTACAGGAAAACGATGCAAAGTGTGCACAACAACTAGGCCTTTGTCCCGGAGGAGCATGCTTTATTTATCTAAAGCCGTTTCAGTTCAAACCTCAGCAACCCCACATATGGGAACAGCAACCTCAGAGCCCGACAAACACACATCAGAGGGAGGGACAGCTGCCTGCCTCAACAAGTCTGCACAAAAGTGTGCCGAGCAAGCTGAAGTGCTGAGCCTGACTCACTTCCAAACTGCTATCAGCTGCTTGTCTAATATCTTGGAGGGGAAATTCCCGTCCATTTCCCGGTTTTCTGAAACAGTGGTTGGAACAAACTTGCTGAATAGGCTGACATTACTTTAAACCGGGATTAATAGGTCAAATTGCCTTTTTTTGTTGGTGTTCACTAATCCTTGTTTTGTCTGTAGTAGCTTTTGAAAACAACTCTTTAAGGGGTTACGAAGGCGTAGTTGCACACGTAGTTAAACAAGCTATTATAATATGTGGTGAAATCAGAGCTCCCACGGCAGCCATTGGTGTCACTTCTTGTGGCTGTCCTCTGGATGGTACCCACCCATAAAAGCTAGTGCTTATGACAGACAGTAATTTGCTTTTAATGGTGCTGGAGAAAGATGCCTGTCCATAAAATCAACACGAACCCGCCTGCCTAGACTTGTCCTATCCTGACAATAGACACAGTCCACCCTCGTGCATGGCGCTCAGCCAAACCTGTCTGTCCTTTGTTACTGATATTACCTAATTGCATTAGCTCACACAGATTGACTATCGCTCCAAAGTAATAGCTCTCTTGGGCTGCAAGATGGCTATGATGGTTGAAGTACAAAATCCACTCTTTTCTGCTACCGGTTGTTGACATTTATTTCTTTGCTCAAAGTGTCTTCCTTCATATTATTCTTTGGTGTGAAATTCACTCCACTATGTCCGTAGATCCAGTTGCTATACCACTTATTCATAGTAGGGTACACACAGCAGGGCACAGCCTGGACCGGTCCATCCCAGTCACGCCATTATCCAGATGTGTGACTAATGCACACAACATGGTATGTTTGTTACTTGAAACCCCAAATTACACCACAAATCAATAATGATGGGACAATCAAGATGTATCAACGCAAAACTGTTGCACAACGTCTGTGCACATGCAGCCATGTCTTCTGAGAACTCATGTACTATGAGCTCATATCCTGTTTCCCTCATATAACATTAGTGTGACCTAATCTTGTGGAGTACCTGAGGAAGTTGACAAAGTGTTTTGCTGCTGCCTCCAAACAGCTGATGCACCTAATTTTTTGGGACACATCATTCTGACAATATTCTGCTAACATGAGACATAGGAGGTCACTTTTTAAGGCTTAATCAAAATGTTTGAGGTTTTCATTTCAGGCTAGTTGAGACAAAACCATTGTGCCGTAAATGTCTTTTTTCCCTCCGTCTAATTCATTTTTTTTATGTTCCCCTTTTTTCAACACGTCGGCTTGTGAGTCCGAATGTTGGTCAGTAAGTCAGAAATACTCCCAGAAGTGACTAATTGTCTGGATGTGATAAAGCGACCTGTTAAGCAGAAGTACCTTTGTAGTCTCTTGTTCCAGGGAAACATGAGTCAAAGTTGTTGCTTGTTGTGCTCCTACTGCTCCGATATGATGACTGTTTGAAATTGTTTGGCCACTGCTTGAAGTTCATTCATGGAATGGAAAACCATTTGCAGACAAGCCATCTTACAAATGACACTGAATGGGTTAGAGGTTGAATAGATGGTGTCTGCTCTGACAGTTGTTTATTTGGATTAGCTTCAGGCTTTGCCAGTTGCCTTGTTGGATGTGCTTGAAATATTACATATAAGTGTATACAGTATCATGACACATTAAAACGGGTTTGAAATATTCCAGGACAACATTTCCTGTCATACTGAAGAGAGTAAAATAGAACAATTAAAAATAAAACAAATGGGGGCTATTTCTGAAAAATGTTTAGTTGGGTATAAAAACAAAACTGTTCCCCAAATAACTGCAAGGCACAGCAGACTCAGCAAACCCTGGTAAAGTACCTGGAACATGGAGATGGGGTAACATTTCCTCCACATCAAATCCACTGGCGACCCTAAGTGTTGCAAAGTCTCAGAGTCCCACCACAAAATCAACAAACCAGCCATCATAAAACACAACATAAGTGAAAGAGGAAGCCAGCCAAGAGCCACTTCAGCTGCACCAGGCAGGAATAATGTACTTTGTAGCTATAACCGCCTGCTAGAAGCATACCATAAGACATAAACAGTGGTCTTGATTAGCACTCTGAATCTAAATGGGGCATTCCACAGTTAGGGACAAGATTGTGCAACTTGATATACAGAGCTGAACTAAAAACACTGGATCTAGGTCAACAAAATATAAATTAGGGCAAGACACAAGTTTTAGTGAAGTATTCTACTTAATCTCAGGGTTCAGCATTCAATCAGATTTTTTTCCCAAAGCACAACTGACCTTAAAATGCCAACCTCCAGATCATGCCTCAGATACGAAGCGGCCTCTTTTGCTTAGGTGTAAATTTTTTGCAGGTCAAAGGGAATACACAGAGATGTGAGGAATGACAATCTGTCATATAGGTGGATACCTGCATTGTAAAAACATTGCCTACGCAAGCAGTGTGGGTCTCATTGGTCTAGGCTGATATTGTCCAGGCTTATCCTGCTGTGACTGAGGGGAATTTGGGGGAAAATGCCATGTAGAAATGTGTATTTTTCATGGTTCCCTGCCAGACATTATTTTGGGAGCAAAGTGGTAAAACCAAGTTAAATGTGGTGTTTGTTAAAATGAATGGAGCCATGTTCATTAAAGCTTTGACGCCATGTCAAATCAGAGGCAGATGTTTCCAAAACAGGAGGAGGTGCCACACAGAAATGTAACTAAGCTTAGGACTGTGTGTAAACTAAAAAGGCTACAAATTAAAGAGAGGCAGTGTTCATTTGATTTTACATACATACATGGTAAAAATGTATATATAAATATATATATATACATGTATGTGTATAAATACATACATGATGGGGGGAAAATGACATCACTTCTGAGACATTTCTACAGTAATTTACTATTCAAGATGAAGGATATGAGCCAAATTGTGTGACTCATCAACCACGCTTTCTTGAGAGCAACAGGCCTTTAACTTCACATCTCCTCTTCGGTGGTAGGTTTTGCAGAAAACATCTGTGACCATATAGGGCCATTCAGAAGAAGAATGATTGGACACATCCAACGTGTCCAATCATTGTTTATGTTCCTGCATCTAAGAACGGATTGAGGCAAGTAGGCAAACACAGCTGCGCGGGAAGAAAGGATGTCAGCAATTAAAAAAAAAGTCCCCCATCCACAGCTTTGACCATTCATGTGGGGTGAGAATGAGTCGGGACATACCAGCTTAGACACATCTGCCCACCTTGATTCTCACTCAGCCCCAAAATATCAACATTTAGCCTCCACCCTGAGGAAACCACATATTGCTGATATACAGATTCTTCTGTTGGCTGTTCTTTGTGATATGAAGTTAATCAATATCAGTTATGTATGTGTACTTAACAAATCGCAATAAATGTCATGAATCATTTATGAGTGAGAGAAACAGAGCAGTATGTTGTTCTTTGTAGGAAAAACACAACAAAGATATGGTGTAATTCCAAAAGCAGCATGTAAGTCATTACCTTGGAATTGGGCAATTTTGGGGATGGAGTCATGTTGCATCAGTAAATATAGGGAAGATAAAGCAGGAAGTTGCCAAGAATCTGGCCTAATAATGATGATGAAATTAATGATACAAAGAGTAGGAACAAGATTATTCTGGCTGAGCTATTACTGCAAAAAAATAAAACAAAAGGTGGCCACTTGATCAGACCAACGATTTATCATTAAGATTAATAAATAGGTTGATCAAAACTAATCCCAGAACAAACCCAGACGTTTTTTTTTCTCTTGATGCCCTACTTTTACAAAACAGGAACCAAATTTCTATTAATAAAAAACAAGGAAGACTATTTTACTTTTTTACATTGAGTTAAAAAAAAAAGAGACCTTGTCTGGCAAGGTCTCATGATAACTTTGCTCTGTAACAACACCAATAAATGATGGGTGAAATTCCTGAAATTAAAAGAATGACAAAAAATCATTCTGATCTTGCAGATATGTTTATCTTCTCTTGTTTTTATTTCCTATACTGTTTTTCTACTACTTTAGTGTCAATTTGAGTGGCAAGCTGTTAAAATAATTAGTGGTGTAATTGGTTTGTGGTTTTTTCAGTTAGCAAGCATTATTTCAAAAACATGATTTTAAAACACTGTCTTTGTTCACACAGTACCACACCTCATTTATTTGAAATATTGCCAAAGAAGAATTCAACTAGCTTACCACACATTAGCCCTTAGGTAAAGTTATGCATGTATGTTTTGGAAATTCCCCATGTCCACTCAACCCATGCAGCTTGTCAACATTTGAGAATAAGGACTGAGGTCTGTGTAGGCGGGAGCAAGTTTAAGTGACTAAGACTCTGTGCTGCATAAATACAAGGTCCGCAACCCCAACCAGAAGCACAACAGAGACTGACAACAACCAGGACTGCCAGTCAAAACAAAGAAAGAAGCCATCGCTGAGAGAGAAACACTGCTGACCCTCAGATAATCACTTTTTTCACTGAACGAGAGCTTGCTAACTGCAAACTCTTTGTGAATATTTTTGTTATATTTTGTCTTTGTCTACAGCGATTCTCAACATGAGATCCTGTACTTTAGCTGTGTGTCTATTTTTGGGGATAAGCCTGCAGGATGGATGGAGCCTGCCCCTCAAGTCGGTTTTTGTCACCTTTCCAGGAGACATAATCAAAAACATGACTGATATGGAGCTGGCAGAGGTGAGTAGCAGATGGTTCTTTTTTCTTGATTTACTGAAATTTCCCAAACAAAATCCAACAGATCTGCTGGGAGAGCTACTTGCCTGAAGAGATATTCATTTCACCCTATAAATTAAAATGTTTGCTTTCTAAATGTGAGCCAGAAAAGGTTTGGTGACAAACCATTGGTGTGATTAAACACAAGGACAATTTCTAGTTTAGTTTTTCCAAACTTACTTAGACCGTTTTAATGGCATCCAGTGAGACGCTGCAGTGGTTTCACAGATGTGGTTTTTCATGTGCTTTCCCAGAGTTATTTAAACAAGTTTGGCTACATGGACACGACACGCCGCAGTGGTTTCCAGTCTATGGTGTCCACCGAAAAGGCGCTGAAGAGGATGCAGAGGCAGCTTGGGCTGAGTGAGACTGGTGAGCTGGATAAGCCAACACTGGATGCCATGAGACAGCCTCGCTGTGGCGTTCCTGATGTGGCCAACTATAAAACCTTCGACGGGGACCTCAAATGGGACCATAATGATGTTACTTATAGGTGAGTAAATAAAATGGCCTGCACTCAACATGGGAGGAAAGGAGCACTATAAAGAATATTTATGAATTTCTAACAAGACTCATCCAGCACATATTTTCACTTGCAATGCCATTTATTTGTCATACTGTTTTCCTACACAGGGTCCTAAACTATTCTCCGGACATGGATAGCGCTCTGATTGATGATGCCTTTGCCAGAGCCTTCAAGGTTTGGAGTGGTGTGACACCCCTGACCTTTACCCGCCTGTTTGACGGCACTGCTGACATCATGATATCGTTTGGGAAAGCTGGTAAATGTCTTGGCTGGATGGTCATTTAATTTTTCATTGGTATTTTTCCAAATCAGTGTCGCACAGTAGAAACTTTACTCCCTGCTGAACAGAGCTCTGAATTCAAACACTCATCAGAAATGTCATGTTGTGTTTAGACCATGGAGATCCATACCCATTTGATGGCAAGGATGGTCTTCTGGCTCATGCCTATCCACCCGGTGAGGGTGTGCAGGGAGACGCCCACTTTGATGATGATGAGTACTGGACTCTGGGAAAGGGAGCAGGTAATCACACATTTAACATCACATGGACTCCCCCTATTGTTCACTTTAGAGAATGCATTAAATACGAGCTCTTCTCTTGCCCTCCATCAGTCGTGAAGACTCACTATGGAAACGCAGAGGGTGCCCTGTGTCACTTCCCCTTCACTTTTGAGGGTAAATCTTACACCACCTGCACCACTGACGGTCGGTCAGACAACCTGCCATGGTGTGCTACCACAGATGACTATGCCCGGGACCAGAAATACGGCTTCTGTCCAAGTGAACGTAAGCTTGATAGTTTAATCAACAAAGCAAACTACAAATCAGAAGTTGACAAAAGTGTGACTCACTTGTTGCCACTGTGGATTCTTCCCCTGACAGTTCTGTTCACAATTGGAGGAAACGCAGACGGAGCTCCATGTGTCTTCCCCTTCAAATTCCTGGATGAGGAATATGACAGCTGTACCACGGAGGGCCGCAGTGACGGCTACCGCTGGTGTGCCACAACCAGCAGCTTTGACAGTGATAAGAAATATGGATTCTGTCCCAGTCGTGGTGAGAAAAGAAAAAATACAGCATAGAAACTCAGCAGAGTGCTGACACAGCTTGTTAGTTTAACTGTCGCTGTTATGTCTCTGTCTTTCAAGACACTGCTGTAATCGGAGGAAACTCTGAGGGAGACCCCTGCCACTTCCCCTTCGTGTTCCTGGGAAAGGAATACAACTCGTGTACAAGTGAGGGGAGAGGAGATGGCAAGTTGTGGTGTGCTACCACCGACAACTATGACGATGACAAGAAATGGGGCTTCTGTCCAGACCAGGGTAAGTGAATTCACTCTGAAAACAAAGAGTAACAGAAGGTGAAAATACAATTGGATTTGCATATGCTGTTATTACGCATGTATAACATTTTCCCCCTGTGTGTTTCAGGTTACAGTCTGTTCTTAGTGGCAGCCCATGAATTTGGACATGCCCTCGGCCTGGATCATTCCAGCATTAGAGAGGCTCTTATGTACCCCATGTACAGCTATGTGGAGGACTTCTCCCTGCATGAAGATGACATTGAGGGCATTCAGTATCTCTATGGTAAGGTCATGCAACAATATTTTACCTTGCTAAACCATGAATTTGTATATATATATATATTCATATTAAACATTTTTGATCTATCAATTTTTTTCAGGAAGTAAAACAGGTCCTAATCCCACTGGCCCTCAGCCCACCCCTCCCACCACCACTCCCAGCCCTGACACTGAAACCACCACAGCTACCGTGGATCCAACCAAAGACGCCTGCATGTTGACCAAATTTGACACCATCACTGTAATTGCAGGAGAACTTCATTTCTTCAAAGACGGGTGAGAAAACCACTCGCCCTAATCTCGTGTCTTGTCTTGCTTGTCTTCTTTACTAAATGAATCCTATGCTGACTTGATCATTTTCCATATCCATCAACAGACATTTCTGGAGGATGTCCAGCAGCGGGGACGCAGGGCTAAAGGGGCCCTTTTCTATTTCTGGGAGATGGCCAGCCCTACCCGCTGTCATTGACGCTGCTTTTGAGGACATTTTGACAAAGAAATTGTACTTCTTCTCAGGTAAAGTAACCTTTTATCAGTGTTAAGCAGTCCACTGCGGCATAAACTAGAGTAGAAATGGTTGTTCATAATAGTTGTTTGTTTTTTTTTATCTAAAGGAACCAGATTCTGGGTGTACACTGGGCAAAACGTTGTGGGTCCACGTGGCATTGAGAAGCTTGGCCTGCCCAGTAGCATTCAGAAAGTTGAGGGAGCGCTGCAAAGAGGAAAGGGCAAAGTGCTGCTCTTCAGTGGGGAGAACTTCTGGAGGCAAGTTTATTCACTTGAAATGTTCAACAATGCTGCAGAAACACAAAGCAAACTATGTAATAATGGAGCAAGCATAAGGTTTGCAGTCAATGATGTAATGTTTTTCTGTTTGATTTCCGATAAACACAGGTTGGACGTCAAAGTCCAGAATATCGATAGAGGCTACCCCAGATACACTGACACTGTGTTTGGTGGAGTACCTAATGATGCTCATGATGTATTCCAGTACAAAGGTAAGTAAAATCAATTCCAAAGCGCAATGAAAAAAAATCTGTAAACAGCAGCGTAACTGTTAAACATTTCTATGAATTCACTTCAAAACATGTCATTCTCGTCTAGGTCACATCTACTTCTGCAGAGATCGTTTCTACTGGAGGATGAATTCCCGCAGGCAGATTGACCGCGTTGGCTATGTAAAATACGACCTGCTGAAATGTGCAGATGGATCTGGCACTAGCTACTGAGAAAAAGTACAGATGAGCAGGAAATTTTCTTTAATGTGGTAGCAGTCACCTTTCTCTATGTGCAGGTGCCTTGGAAAGTGCCTTGCAGTGTTTGTGTAGAGCGTCTAAAGTTTGATTTTTGTGCTTTCTGAGATGTGAAGGGTTAGGCCTCATTGATGTTGGCTAATTGTAATACATATAGGACTGGTCTAGATATAAATCAAAGGCCTAGCAGAAGAAATAGTATCGTTTGGCACTGCTTTGCTCTCAGTCTGATTATCTGTGAACTGATGGTTACCATAACCACCACTTAAATAAGTGCCAACTGGATTCAACTCCAGGTTTGCTAAGTAATTTCTATGTCTGACAGGCTCAGACTCTCAGCAGTATTGGATTATTTTGGTATTTATAGTATTATCTGACATTAATATTATTTGTTATTGGTGTTTCAAGCTTTTATGTTTTGTACAACAATATGTTTGTTTTTTTCTGAAAATGGCTTAATAGCCAAATATTTGCACTGGAAGACAATGCATGTCTCCTTCTTGGAAATTATTTATGAGATAAATAATTTTGTAAAAAAGCCTGAACTTTCAATGCAATAAAAATTGAGTGAGAACAACCAATATCTGTCAACTGTCTCAATTATCCATCATAATACTTGTATAGATCAATATAAACTAAAGCTGGTGAGCATTACAGAAACACATTTTTTTCTGTGGAGGCACATGCTACAGCAATAGTCTTTTGTTTTATTCCACTCCATTCTGATGGTTAATGTATCAAAATGTATTATTACTTTTGGAATCCCTTCATTAACGATTCGGGGGAAACAGATGGTTCATTTTGTTTTTATTAAGTGGTTCTACAAAAACAGACACCAATGAAGCTATTACATGCTCGTTAATGGATGAGTAAATCATATCACAATGTTGATAAAAATAGAAATAATTCCACCCACTGAAGTGTTTTATAGAGAAATAATAAAATGGTCTTATTTTACCATTTAAAAAAGGGAGGGTTAAAGTTACGGCCATTGATTGGATGGCATGAAAATAGAAAAAAAACAAAAAAACATATATAAAATAATATCGGAGGCAAAATTAATATGTGTAAATATGGATTTGAATGAACTCTTGCAAAATTGCTGGATTTTTAAAAACATAATTTAAATAATTTTGACTAGAGTAAGAATCATCATTCTGGATTTTTAAAAAGTAATGCAGAGGAACATTTATGAGGAGCATCTGCTGAATAAAATCCCACATTATGAAAAAAAATATACATATAGAAACAAAATAAACCAATAGACTTTTGATTTATCAATAACATTTATTACTAAACTAAAAAATTAAATATATTTGCAAATTATATCACCATTAACCTATTAGAATTCTCTTTGTATCACTTCTAAATCTCTACGTCTTCAATTGCAACGCTGTGTAAATATCGAATGTGTAACCGATTTAAAGTGGCAAATAAGCAGTTTGGATTTTGTCACAAGCTTTACGGGACGTTGATACCCTGAACTCCTGTCGTGCATTTTCACCCTGCATTATACCTAATATTACTCCGCACAATACTGGGTAATACGTCCTCCTCTAAAAACAATAGTCCACGTAATAAAAATTATCACCTTTTTACCCGCATCTAACAGTGCTACTTCACTTAGCATAGACACAGTTTAAAACACTAATCTATCTGTCGTGGTTGGGAGAAAAACACACCATTTGAAACAAAAAATATAAATAAGATCCGGTTGGTCGGACAGGAAGTAAGGAAAGACTCATGGCGCCCGACTAGAAAGAACCAACAATTATCGGTTCCAAATTAGTCTTCTATTTAGCGCCTCTACGCTTAAGGATACGCTTCTCTTCGATTAAACACGGTAAGAAAACGGAGCAGCGATTCTGATGGCAGGAGAGAAATTGTTTTAATTTTCTTCAGGGAGAGTATTTGGGCGTTCTTTTGCCGCTGAGGCCCTCGAGGTCCCCAGGCCAGGAGAGCTTACAGAATGCCTGAGTGGAAAAGAGCGATGTCTGGTGTAAAATGGCGACCCAGTGCAGGCAGGATAAAGGGCAGCTAGGCCTAGATCAAACGGCTTAATGCGACAGTTAAACCACATACATGTTGCTCTGACCGGCTTTGAGCCCATTGTGTCTGACTTCTTATGTCGTCAGTTATGTTTACTCCTGTTAAATGTCGTCCAGCCGCAAACTATTGTGTTAAAAATGTAGAATTTGTGTTTTAGGCGCATTTATATTAGAAGGCATTGAAAATGCTGCTAAACCCGCATGATGCTAACGAGCTAACTGTCCTGATTATCGTATGCTATTATTCCAAGGTAACATAATGCCCAATATTTTCACGATAGATCATTAAGACCAAAACTAATTGTTATTTTATTTCTATTATGACGTTTAAGAAATGCTCTTGGAGTTTAACGTTGGTAAGAAGAACGGCAAATAAACATTGGCAACTCGAATCTAAAACAGATTAAAACCCGATAAAAATAAACAGTTAAAATCAGTCAACATTATGGAGTGACCAAACAGTAATATGCCAAATATCTACAACTAGTCAGGTGAAATATTTGCAACGAATTTAGTACGTTATATTTGTAAACCTACATCAAGGTAATGTATTTAAACTGGTGCAAGTCTTTTATAGACTTAACATAATTTAGCAAGCAGTGCACAGATCAGGTTGCCCCCTTACATAGTAATATAACTGGGATTTTAAAGAACGGCAACATTATAATGGAGGTAAATACCACTGATGAATGCATGTATTTTTCATACATGTGCTCAAAGACCGCAAGTCAAACCAAGTTGAGTTTGTAGTTATACTTGCAATTGATTCAAGAAACCAAAACTCTGTTTCTATTGCCTCTCCACTTGTAAGTAAGGTCAGGAATATCGTGCGGCTAAAATTTGTGAATAAAATGTCACATTATGTTCATGCACTTTAAGCAGTTTGATTATAATGAAAACATAATGAGCCAAATGAGCTAAACAATGTTGAAGTATTTAGACCTCAGGGTAATATCTGTATTGCATTCACATCATGTTTCCATTGGAGTAAAAAACTCATGAAAAAAATCATGTCATTGTAGAGCAAAATGATTTAAGGATTTCAAACGACAACCAAGCTCCCAACACGATTATATATAAACTGTAAAAGTACTATCAAAGTCTGTTCAGTAGTAAAATAAAAACTGTGAGAATGGCAGGAACAAAAATAAAAATAACTTTACATTAGAGAATGCCTTTGAGTGAACAAAAAAATATGTTTTGCACGATGCCAAAGGTCCTATGTACACTTGCGCCATCTTATGCTTGCAGTTTCATCCACTCAACTGATTAAGATCTGTTTAAAATCTTAATTCCTACGAACACCTTTAACATCAATTAAAAAAAAACAGCGGTGGCAAACTTACACAGTTAAGATGTGTAGATCTTAATGCCACAAACTTGCACTAAAGTGTTAAAGATTATACTTTTGGTCTTGACATAATGTTTCATTTTTGGGGATAGTTATGGATTCAGAGGAGAATGAGGTGGAGAGCAGCAGTGATGCAGGCCCTTCAGGAATGGAGGAGCCATCTGAAAGCGGCATGGGAATGGAGTCATCGGAGGCCATGTCTGCAGACAGCAGCGATGCTGCTGCTTCTCATGCACAGGCCCCAGAGTCAGACTGTCACGTGGGCCAGAGCTCAGAGGGAGTTGTGGTAACTTTATTCCATTCTTTTAACTTTTTTTGTAATAAAAAATTAAATGGCAATATATTTGGACCCATAGAGGTTTGTGTTCATTATGTTCATGTCTCTTTCCAGGTATTTATCCCAGAAACCAGCTCCAGTACAGATGTTAGAGTGTCCTCAGTTCATCTTCCAGACTCTTCCTCGGTGGCCCAGTCCACCAGCGTGTCCAGTGTCTCCACAGTGACTCAGTCGGTGCTGGTGTCTGAGTCAGCCCAGGTGCTGGTCCATTCCAGCGCCGTGTCTGAGGGAGCCATGATGGTTTCTGACTCCACTGCCTCCACCTCGTCCGATTTGGGTTCAGCCATCGACAAGATCATAGAATCCACTATCGGTCCTGATATCATGAATGGTAGTTTTATAGATATTCTACATACGTGTTCATTTATATACATATGAACTGGCCACAGTCGTGGGAAATTGACAACTTGATTTCTTTTAAGGGTGCATAGCTGTTACAAGTGCAGAGGATGGAGGAGCAGAGACTACCCAGTATCTGATATTACAAGGGCCAGACGATGGTAAATGAGTTGTTACTGCTGACATAAATCCTTCAGCACGTTTTGAAAAAGTTGGCGTGTGAATCCCTTTGATGAAATCTGTGCTTGTCTGGTGCAGGAGCTCCTATGGTAGCACAGATGTCTTCCTCTGCCCTGTCCAACCGTGTTGCCGTAGAAGCTCTCGCTGAAGGTCCCACATCCACCTGTTTCGACCAAGGAGACCTACATGGCATTCCTGAACCAGACCAGCCTGACGACCAGCCTGGACACTCCGGTTATCCAGAGGACAGCAGCAGTCAGCCTGACCAGCCCCAACACTCCCATCCCTCCCAATACATGGAGTGCAGCGCAGACGGCCCCGACCAGACCGAGGAGTCCTCTTCTTCCTACGTGGAGTGCTCAGGAGAGGAACCTGACCAGACTCGCTCCCAGTCAGGCTTCGCTGACTACAGTGGAAGTAACAGTGACCATGACCTGCCAGGATATGTGGAGTGCAGTGGAGCTGACTCAAATCCCACCAGCCGAAGCCACTACGTGGTGGAGTGCAGCACGGGGTATCTGGAGTGTGCAGTGGACGATGGAGAGCAGCCACATCATTCACGCAGCTACATTGACAGCAGTGCAGACCACCGGACCCAGACGGGCCGTCAGTATATGACCGAATATGGGGCAGAATGTGTTGCAGCTGCAGATTCGGAGCAGCCTGGCTGTTCCCAGTACCGAGCAAGAGACGACGATGAGGACGATGAGCAGAACCAGGATCCAGATCAGCCGCAGCACTCTCAACAACAGCCTCAGCATTCCTGTTACACAGAGAACAGCAACGGCCCTGAGGCCTCCGTCTATGCTGATGACAGTTCCTCATCCGACCACCCGCTGGCTGACACAGCCGGGTCAGGGGGGCTTCCTGAGGCAATGGAATGCAGTGAAAGCCAGACAGGGCTGTACATCAGCAGCAGTGGCACCTATACCTCCAATCCAGAACCCGAACTGGCCCAGCAGAGCTCCTCCAGCCAAGAGGAGCCCCAAGGTTCCCAGGACGAACCCAAGCCGGCAAGGGACATGGAGACATCAAGTGTCACTGTGGGCTCTGGAGACCAACCGCCAAACCTTGCTGAATTAGAGGAGATGATGGAAGTTGTGATTGTGCAGCAGTTCAAGTGTAAGATGTGCCCATATAAGAGTGCCTCCAAAGAGACGCTCATCAACCACATGCGAGACAAACACTTCAAACCTGCAGGTGAGATATTGACCATTTCTCAGGGTGATAAATCAAACAGCCGACTATTTCCGGTCATTTTTTATATTAATTTTTCTAATCAGGGGAAATGCCCAAGAAGCGTAAGCGTGGACGACCTCCTAAAAGTGAAACACTAGCCCGTCAAAAAGCACAGAGGGAGGAGGCAGAACAGAGGAAGGCGGCAGAGGTGAAAACTGCTGAGCCCAAACAAGCTGCAGAAGAGGAGGATGATATTGTGGATGCTGGAGCCATCGATGATCCTGAAGGTTAGCGAACTAAACGGTATTTTAATACCCACATAGTTTACCCCGTGTTGTTTCTCAAGTCAATCAATTTACATTTGACCCTCACACTGGGCCCTGTTTTTCTCCAGAGGATAGTGACTACAACCCCGCAGATCCAGATTACAAAGGGAGGCCACCGGTTGTGAAGAAACAAGCTACTCCAATCTCCTCCTCCTCGCATGGGCGCCCTCGACGAAAGGTCGGGCGTCCAAGGAAGTACTGTGTTTCAGACGAGGGCTATGGCAGCAAGGGTGGGTTTTCAGCACAACAGCAAAACAAAAGAAGAAAAATGTCGAACTTTCAGTGGCAGGGGCTTCATTCTTCTTAAAATCCTTTCATTACAGAAGCAGAAAGCGTTGCTAAGGGGCCAAGGGTTAGCACGGATGCAAGTTTATCCGAAGAAGCAAGCTCTTCTGGTTTAGGCAACGGTCCAGCGACAATAACTGATGGAGAAACAGCCGAGGCAACTATAAGCCAGTCAGACTCCGAGAACAAAGACCCCTCATCCAATTCACAGGCAGAGGAGGAATTCTTCCCGAGGAAGCGTGGCAGACCATCCAAGCGCTTCTTACGGAAGAAATATAAAAAGTATATAAATCGAAAGTAAGTCTCCGATAATTCCAGTTTTGTCATGAGTGGTATAAAAAAGATTTTATCCCACAGTAATAGCTTCTTTGTGCCATACTCCAGCCGCTACTATAAATCTCTCAAACCACTCTTGAGACCTCACAACTGCTGGATCTGCGGCTCACGTTTCCTCACTCAAGAGGATTTGCGCTTCCACGTGGATTCTCATGAAGGCAGCGACCCAGAGCTTTTTAAATGCCTGCAGTGCAACTACCACTGCAAGCGCTGGTCTTCACTCAAGGTATGAAAATATTAAATAAGTCACAACATTTCTATTAACCTTTACATGCAGTTTTTCCCAGTGCTCTAAAAGTCACCTTGCTTGGTTTTGCAGGAACACATGTTCAATCATGAGGGCACAAAGCCATTTAAATGTGATGAGTGTGACTACACCAGTGTATATAAGAAAGATGTTATCCGACACTCAGCAGTCCACAACAAAGAGAAGTCAGTATCTCATGTGACATATTTTAAAACGGTCTTGTGGGATGTGATGCTGCAATAGTCATGACTAATTATTTCCTCTCTATATCTTACAGGAAAAGAAAGACAGAGGTGGTAAGATTTGAATTTTGTCCATTCGAATGCATTCCTATATACTTATTACACATTTATAATGCAAGGTTAGTTGTATGACAACCACCTGCCACAAAATGGGTTAAAAGTAAAAACCAAAGCCGGCCATTTCTGTTGAGGCTGCTTTTGTCTTTTGGGATGGATTCTGTCCTTAGCCAACATGGTTCACTCTGGTTCATGTTGCTTTAGGCACCAAAAGTGTCAGAGTTCCCCTGCCCTTTGTGCAGCAGGGTGTATCCTATGCAAAAGAGACTGACCCAGCACATGAAAACCCACAGTTCAGAGAAACCACACATGTGTGATAAGGTCAGTAAACAAAATAAAATAAAATAAAGCAATCGCAGCCATCATTGATTTTCTGCCTGTTTACTAAATGTCTTGTTTGTGATCCCTCTTTGTCTTTAAGTGTGGGAAATCCTTCAAAAAGCGGTACACATTCAAAATGCACTTACTGACCCACATCCAGAGTCTTGGTGAAAACAAGTCAGTGCTGAAAACTTCCCTTTTTTCATATACTTGTTCGTTTTTTTTCAGAAATATAAAACTAATAGAAAGATACATTTGATTATATGTAAGTTGCTAATGCCATTTTTTATGTGGGTTTGCCAGGTTCAAGTGTGAGTTTTGTGACTATACTTGTGAAAACAAGAAGCTGCTGCTCAACCATCAGCTGTCGCATACCAACGATAGACCCTTCAAGTGTGATTACTGTAAATATTCCACTTCCAAAGAGGAGTTCCTGGTCTCCCATCTAGCCATCAAACACACAGGTCAGTGTGTCCGGAAAGGTATAATAGCTTATTTCAGTGGACCATAGTTATAAACCTCTAGCTCCTTCATGTACATTATGTCACCTGTATATCTCTCTTTAGGGGAGAAGCCCTTTTCCTGTGACATGTGTCACTTCATGACCAAGCACAGGAAGAACCTGCGTCTTCATGTACAGTGTCGCCATCCTGAGACTTTTGAGGAGTGGTCCGTGGCTCACCCTGAAGAGCCTGTGCGGAGAAGACGAAAACCCTTCTTCACTCTGCAGCAGATTGAAGAACTTAAACAACCACAGGACGACACCCAGGGTCTTCAGAACACTGTAGTGAGTCTTTCATGTCATTCAGTCCAGGGCTAGATGCAATAAGGCTTTATCATGTACTGTGTTTTTTTAGCATTAGGATGAGGTGTCCAATAACCTTTTTTTTTCTCCATCGTTTCATCAGGTCACTGTGGATTCTGCGACACTACAAGCAATGCAGAGTTTGGAAAATGCCTCCGTTTCCCAAGATGAGTTGGGAAACACCACTATTATCTATGAACAAGGTGAGATAGGTTATTGTGAAACATGTTTTTATACCTTTTCTATATATTCATGATTTATTTTGTAATGTCTCTTGAGTAATTTGAAACTTTCTTTAATTTTGTCCTTAGCTGAATCCAGTGATCTGACAGCTCAAAATGCCTTGGATCTACTTCTGAATATGAGCAATGCTCGGGAACTAGTTGGGAACTCCTTACAGGTTAATCAGAAATTCAGCTCTACATAATGCATGTCAGCGATATTAACATGGCAGTGCTTAAATTTAGAAAAATGGATTCCTCACCTCAGGTGGCAGTGCTGAAGTCAGATGGGAAAACAGTGGAAAAGGGAGCACTGAGTGCAGCGTCAGGCCAGGCCCAAAAGATCGTGACCTTCCATGTGTCTGAGAACGGTGAGACGGTTCTACAGGAGGCTTATGAAGCAGCCACCTCTGAAACTGGAGAGCTGACGCACATTGCCATTGAAGCCTATGAGGAGGGAGGAGAATACAGTATGGTGGAGCATCCCAGTGGAGAGATTGATAGTCCCGAATTCAGGTAACATAGCAGAGACAATCTACTTATCCCTGTTTGGAATATTTACCCTAGAACCAGGTGGAGATTAATCAGACAACAAGTCGACATATTAACTTCTTGCATGATCTCTCATCAGTCTCTTTTTCTTATTGAAATGATTGAATGCAGCAACAGTGAGAACAGCCCATCCCAGGCTTTAGAGGTCTCTGGGTCAGAGAGCGTCAAAAGTGAAAAGTTCTATCTTACTTCAGCTCTGGCTGACGGTGTATTGCAACAAGTGGAGGTAACGATAACCTGTACTTTCTAATTGTTTTTCACAGAGGCGTACTTCTCGGCCTCTCTGGTAACAGTGCTGTTTGTTTTTCATCAGCTGAGCAGCGATTCCCCAAGTTCCCCTTCAGCGGTGAGCTCTCCCAGTGTCAGCACCAAAAGGTTTTCCTGTCGAATCTGCATGGAGTCTTTCCATGGACGCTCTGACATGGAGAACCACAAGAGGGCACACTTGGATGCAAACACTTTCAAGTGCCCTGACTGTGAGTTCACATCCACCTCCTGGCCCGAGGTCAAGGTGAGTCTCACAGTGACAGTTCCAAGAATTCTCCTGTAACTTTTTCATGCCACAGTTTTGGTGAAATAGCAGGAGAAAATATTAGTTTGGAACGGCTCAAATATTTTAGTTCGATGGCAATTTAAAAAAGCCACACCTCTTCATGTTTTTTTCTCCCTTTTCTCTGATCTTTGCTCTCCTCAGACTCACATGGGCCTGCATTCTTATCTACGTCCTCATAAGTGTCCAAATTGCAGCTTTGCTTCAAAGAACAAGAAGGACCTGCGCAGACACATGATGACCCACACCAACGAGAAACCTTTCGCTTGCAAACTTTGTGGGCAAAGGTTGGAGCATAATAGCACATTTCTAGATTTAGACATGCGAGGCTCTCAACAACTGTTAATGCTGCTGTTTCTGCGTTTTTTTAAACTCAGATTTAACAGAAATGGCCATTTGAAGTTCCACATGGAGCGTCTCCACAACCAGGATCATCCCGCTCGAAAAAACCGTGCAGGCACATCTCAGCAAACCATTATTGTCAACAGTGATGAAGAGGCCTTGGCTACACTTCAGTGTAAGGGACGCAGGGCTCCTCCAATGGTGGAACTGCAGCTATGTGTGGGCTGAAAAACATTGAATAATACCTGGTATTAGGGTGTTGAACGATGCGTGACGTGTCTTTTTGTTTGTGTGACACAGCATTACAGGGACATCAGACTGTGATCACACCAGAGAGACTGCAGGCCCTGGGGCAAGATCACATTATTGTTGCTCAAGAACAGGCGTTATCAGACCAGGTAACATCACTCATTTTATATACAACATGTTGGGTTTCTTTTCTCTGATCACTTCTCATTTACTGGGCCAACACTGCACTTTATGAAAATGTGTCAATCAGGAGGAAGGTACATACATCCAGCAGATAACCACTATAGATGGGCAGACTGTTCAGCACCTGATGACTGGAGATAACCAGGTGACTGAGGTAGGTCCCGGGCCGTTGTTTAGTCCAAAAGGCTGTAGTCTGTTGAACCACAACTAATATAAACATGAAAGCAAATGTAAAAAAATAAATAAAAAAGAGTCCTAAACTATTCAACAAGCATAAAACACACCAGGCGTCTTTCCCTCTGTTCCTCTTTTCACCTATCTTGTGCTAACATTTTGCACAACGTTGCATAAGTTTTTTCATTGTAGAAGAACTTTAAAACCCTTTTTTTGCTCTTGGATCCCCCCCAGTCTTTATAAGCTATTTTAAGATTAAACTTAAACTAAGCATTTATATTCTCATTCAAATTAAGTCATTATAATTTTGCTCGCCTTTATGACTCCCTGTTTCTGAATTCTTCTGTTTCAGGTCCAGTACATCATTTCACAGGATGGAGTAACGCATGTTCTTCCTCAAGAGTATGTAGTTGTAGCTGATGGTAACCACATACAGGTAAGTTTATTTTTTCACATTTAAGGTATCCTACCTTTGCTGATAGAATTATTTGGTTATTGATGATACAAATGTATTTTCTCTAAATGTCTTACAGATGCCAGATGGACAGATCATTCAATATGAGCATGATCAACAGGTAAGATGGAGATTAATGATCCCAAATACAGTTAGACACAGTTGGACTAAACTGTGTATAGTGAGATATGAGGGTTGTTTTTTATTTTGTTGCGTCAAACGATTATTTATCTTTGTAGATTGCTGTAAGTCACGATGGTCAGATCCAGTACCTGCCTGTTAGATCAGACCAGCAGATCATAAATCCTGAAGACCTGGAGGCTGCTGCCCACTCTGCTGTCACAGGTTAGCTCTGCCTGCCATCTTATACTTTGTGTGGCTTTTTTATTGTTCATTTAAAGTTATAAAGTTATAACTGACTTTAAACTCAAAGTCAGTTTGACTTCAACTGACTTTGAGTTATAACCGCAGCATCCACGCAACAAATCACACTGAGAGTTGTTTCTTTTGCACTCGCAGCTGTAGCAGACGCAGCTATGACGCAAACCCAGACAGTCTACGCTGAAGCAACGCCCGAACAGCTGGAACAGCTGCAGCAGCAAGGCATCCACTATGATGTCATTACTTTCACCAATGACTAGCGGGACAATTGGAAACCACCATGAGCTTGTAGAACAGTGACCTCAGCTTACATGTGCATCCATGCGTTTAGCTAGCCGGACAAACACCGTACCTCCTGCACAGCATCATCTGCTCCTGGCAGCTGCATTATACAAGATCAACAGCTTTTATAATTCAGATTATTGCACTTATTCCTGTGACCCTTGCAGAGCTAATTCGAGCAACATCTGTCTGCTCTATCTTCATTAAAACTGCATTTATGTGCCTCAACTGCTTCTACTTGCAAGACAATATTATCAGTAAAAAATGCAATGGCTACCATGTTTTAGAAAATGTTGGATACCCTAGTTTTGTGGCAGAATGAAATGAAAAGGGAGTGTTTATTTTTGATTTGTTATAAGTTATCTTTCATGTTAGCTTGCTGTAACATGTTTTTTGAACATTGCTGTACATAAATTTTGCCTTCTGTTATATTATGGACAAAAGTGAGTACAAAGTGTATTATAAGTCAAAAGCTTTCACCAAATAAATCGCTTTGTGTATATACATGCATGTACTGCTTAAAGTATCCATACATTTTTGGTTGTTTTCCTAGCTGGTGAGTCATTCTAAGGATGTTTTTCCATAACAGTTTCCAAAGGCAGATAGCAAATCTACATAAACCTGTTTTAAGGTCAAAACAGAAATGTTATTGTCCTTTTTTCACAAGATGCTAAGAAAAGGGGGAAAGTATATGCTGTAATGTTGATAAAGGAGCGAAAGCATAATGGAAAAATAAAAATAAAAAGGTGACAAACATCATTAGACACGAGCATTACCCACTGAAACAAAGTGAAACTATTCCAGTTGGCTTTTTACAGTCTCACAGTTTTAAAATGGTTTTGGGTTCCATTACTGCCCATGATTTGGTGGGCTTTCCCTGTTTAAGATGCAACTTTTATGATGTATGCTTCGTAAAGACTGTGGAGCAACATGGTGCTAGTAAAGATAACGTATGCATGTATTAGAAACAGCACAGCTCTACAATGAAAAAGTCTGAGTACAAAAATGACCTGCCTTTAAGCTGCGACCTGCAAAGAGCTGAACAACATGAAAAAGGAGAAAAAAACAAATCAGCTGCTGAGATTCAACATGCTAAACAGCTCCAGAATTTCTGGGAGTGGGATTGTGGGGGGGCCTTTCTTCTGTCTGTATCTTGAAAAAGTATTATTAGAAAAAGGCAACATGTGCTGTCAAAGAGGCCAAAAATAGACAAGATCCAAAATGTGTTCAGATATTTCTCAGAGAGGCGCCAGCCGTATGAGGAACATGCCTTTTTTGTCCTCTCGCTGATCAACCAATGACTTCCTTTTGTTTCCACTAAGAAAAGAAGAGGAAAGGACAAGGAGTTCCCTAAATTTTTCAAACAGGAGTTTAAACTGCCAACTTGTGCTAAGAGTGCGTGCGGAAGACTGAAGATGAAATTATCCTTTGTTCTTATTCTTTTGCTAAGTAGGGCTGACTCAAAACGAGCTATTTTCTGTTTCTCATTTGCTTGCAAGAACAAAAACAATGTTTGTCTTCCAGATGTTCTTCGTTTAAAAGGACAGCATGACGACCAGGAGCTCCATCAACACATTTTGCTGAGACTCTCCTTCCCTCCGCTCTACAACAGCTACAACAAATTTTGCTGCAAACTGTACCCTGGAGGATGTTACAAGCTGCTGGACAGCGCTGGGTATATCTGCGATCTCCTGAGAGGAAGAGTGAAAAAAACAGAGAAAGATGGGTGCATTGAGTTTGAAATATTAAATGTGCAGTTTGTGGATGCAGGATATTATAGATGTGGGGTTTTGGGAGCCCAAACCCGAATCTATAGTGACTACTATTTTGAGGTTTTTGGTAAGTATTCTTTACTTTCCCATCATGTTAGGAAAACTGCATTCTGGTGGTGATTAAATGTAGCCTTTATTTAAGATGACAAGATACTCTTGAGTTCTGTTAGAGCTAAATTCACAGAGGAGTGATTTAAGTGGTCTGACAATTTGCAGAAGCTCCAGATCACCACAGACGCTTTGAGCCGTCACCGGCACCAACAATCAAAACCACAAACAGCTCCACACTGCCCACCGAACCTGCTCTGTCCCAGGATCACACTGACGGCAGCAGGTCTTCACTCCCCAGATGATCATTTGTATCGCTCACTGTTCTAATGATTTCTGGAAGAAGGAAGTGAGAGGTTAATCAGAATGTCCTGTCCTGTCTCTTTTTTAGAGCTCCCTGGAGTTTCAGTCTGCCTCTGGCTGCCGTTGTGTCTGTTACAGTGATGATTTTTGTCTCTGCTGTCGTCGGGACTGTTTGCTTCAGAGTCAAAGCAAAGAGTAAACAGTTGGGTAAGCAGTTTTCTTAAACTGTCTCAAGTACAGACTTTATGCCAGCACTTCTGACATTAACAAATTGTAACTCATTTCAGAGCAGATAATCAATGTGGCATTTTGTTGTTTTTCTGTCTTGTTTTGTAGAAACATACGGAGAAACTCTGCGCGAGTCAGTAAGACAAGAAGCTCTGGTAGGCACAAAAAGGGGTCATGCAGTGTCCGTGACTCATGGTCAGGCCATGGTTGAGTTTCAGACTTCCTCTACAATGCCGTCTGGTGAAAAAGTTTATCTCTTGTAGGACACACACAGCATAATCTACACAACAGTGGATTTTGGAGCTCACTTGGAACCGGAGGATGCCTATGCAAACCTGAGGATGCACAAAACTCCAGCAGATGTTCCTGACATGGACAATGCTGGGACGGTGGTGTACTCCACTCTTGCAGTCCAGCAATAAAAAGGAATCCAGCTTGTAGACTCTAAGACATGGTCAGCTTTATTCCTTATGCCTCTGTGTTATGGGGAGAGTTCTCAAATGTCACTTTGAGGATCTTCAAAGCAATATCAGGCCATGAAACATAAAGTTATCTGACTTGATTTATTGACAATATTTGAAATGGGATTTATTACACAATTTGTTTATAATTTGTAGTTTGCAAGAAAAAAATTCAATTGCAACAATTGTAAATAAATCTGCTGTCATGTCATGGGCAATGGATTTGTACTTTCAATGGCTTTGAGAATTTAAGCATTTTCCAAACTAGTTTTATTGAAGTGCGGCAGACTTGCCAGATCATGTCATAAGGTTATCTAATCATCAGTGTTTGGTCTTATCTTAATCTTTCACATTACAAAGTCAGCGTCAGCTTGGCTCTACTGTTCTGAGAACCGCTCGATATCCTCTTAGCCCGTCTCATTCAGGACAAAAAAACGGTATTTTTATATTTCTAACATATCCATTGAAGGGCAATGCCCTCTTGCCAGCAAATGAAGGAACAGACTTGACTGATTCTTATTTCTGTGACATTTCAGTACAACATAAATGAGCTCTGTCCGGCATGAATTCTGACACAGCTCTGTAAAAACTTGGACCAGAGATCATGCCATAATATAAAAAGTAGTACAACTACAGCCAAAACACAGATGCAGATCAATGTCAAAATGATTGGCAAGGACATATCCGGATAAAATTGGGAAAATGTAAAGAAAAGCTAATTGTTACTCACACATTTCAGATAGCAACAGCTTATAGCAATTAAAAGATATTAAAAAAAAGTGCAGCACACTGGCTTTTCTACTACACTCTTATTTTCTCATAATGCATGTACGTTTTTTAAAACTAACTCACCCCATGGCCCCTTCAAGAAAAGTAAAAAGAGAACAAAGATTTCAAGATTCCTCTGGGAGGGGCTGCCATTACCCTCATGGGTTCCATCCCAGTCAGAACAGTGCCGTGTCGATATTTCCTCCCCTACTTCATACATGATGCTTTATTCTTTAGCATTTATCTCGCTGTCCTTCCTTTATTGTACACACAGCAAAGCCATAACAAAATCAGCTGAACACATCTTACACTTGAAGAAAAGTCAGCCCCCCCCCTCTGAGGAACCAGTCTGGGTTGTCTGGGCATTGTTGTCATTAGTTGTCATTTACTTTTTTTCTCTCTCTCAGCAGGTACCTCTGGCCTGGTTCCTCATTCCTGTCCACCAAAAATCTTTTTAAACAATAAAATTTATATAAAAAAAGATGTATTAAAAAAATGAACAAAATTAAAAATAAATCAACTTTTTTATCCGCCACATCCGACTGTCCAAATTCAAATGAACAAACATTACGATCCTGTAACGGCTCCATAATCTACCGAAAGATTCCACAAACCTTTGAAGGAGTCGATAAACTTCTCCTGGAGGAACCCTTTGTCTCTTTGTGCCTTAATGTGCTCCAGTGCATCCTGCACCGGAGTCAGCGGCCCGTCCAGGGGTTCTTCTTCTTCTGCAAAGAGTTCAAAAGCCAGAAAAATCACAACAGGCACGATTCAATATTTACACATAATCCTCAAAGTCTACCGCCTTGTCTGACAAACATACCGCTCATTTGAGATAAAATATCTGAATCCTCACTTTCCTCCTCAGCATTTCCGGAGCTGTTCTGCTCAGCATCAGGCTCCAGTTTATCTTGAAAAAAAAATAAAAATTTTTTTTATTGATTTTCATAAACAAATAAACTGCTGTGCCCTGAGGAGGACTCTTACCCTCGAGCTCTAGCTCCTCCAGGGAGTTTCCTTCCAATCTTTCCAGGGAACCTTTCTCCATCGCCAGAAGAAGCTTTGAGATTTTGGAGAGCTCGGCGGCGGCCTCGGGGGACTGGTAGTATTCCCGATCGGCCCGGACGTCGCGGCCCAGCAGCTTGGCGAGCTGACCGAGCTCGTCGCTTTTTGTGTAACGTAGTGCTGCACGGTGGTTTCAAGTCGGACATATTTAAAGGTAACACAAAATACAGTGATTTAGATCCTGTAATGTCATAAACATCTACACGTAGACGCCGCGTTGAGACATTGGCCAGACTGAAAAATCAGGCTATAGAAACGTATATGCAAACATTATATTGGCGACATGCAGCGATACGCCGACAGACACCAACAGCCCAGTTTGGGATGGATTGCGAAATCAGAGGTTCAGCTTGGCTCCTTGCTGCCGCACATCACGTTTCAGCCCGTATTTCAACAGAAAATGTGCAATTTCAGCGATTTTGACAATTAAAATTATCGTAATTAGTCATACATAAAGATCGGCGGACAAATAATAATATGTCATCGTATGTTTTGTCTTGTGAGGATGACCGCACGTCCCATAAATATATATACACA